TTATATTTTAATTAATTGAACAAATTGAGAAGATATATTATATTGTAATTAACTGAATAACAGAGAGTATATTATATTACTGGAAAAGGTGAAAAGAGTATATTATATTTTGAATAAAGTGAGAAGATATATTACATTGTAATTAATTGAATAAAAGAGAGTATATTATAGTATATTTTATTTAATTGAGAGAGGGCATATTATTTGAATTAATTGAAGAAAAAAGAGTATAATATATTATTAGAAAAGGCGGAGAGAATATATTATATTATATTTGAATTAATTGAATAAAGTGGGAAGATAAAAAAAGGATCATATAACAATCCACATGGTCTCATTTTAAAACGTGAAGTCCCTACTTTGACAATTGTGTGTTCGTTTACTTTTTTTTTTTTTTTTGAAGATGATTTTACATAATATAAAGAGTCAGAATTTTTTTCAGGAAAATAACTCCTAAAATGAAAACACTAAAAAATCTTTTTCATAAATGGATCCAACATGGTCTTGAAGATTGAAATCTTTTCTTTACAACGGCTTCTTAAAATTCGCTATATATTTTACCATTTTATTGGATTTTGAACATTAGGGTTAAGCTATTAGAGATTCAAGAAATCCTAAAATTTCGTCATTTAACCCCGACATTCCAAGTCCAATAAAATAATAGAAAAAGCTCGTACAAGTTTCAAGAGTTCGTTGTAAAAGAGAGATTTCAGTCTCCAAAATCATAGTACAGATACGACACTATCACAAAAAGGAACTTTTCAGTGTTTTTTATAAACGTTTGAATTTTTATAATTCCTTCGCAGATAGATAAAAAAAGAAAAGGCTGTCACGAAATAGAGATCAAGTGGATTGTTATAAATTGACGAACAAATGATCCAAATATTTCATCGTTATTGGCATTACGATTGTGCTCTTCACTGTGCCAGAGACAAATTTTAATCCGAGAATAATTTCATCGCAGACAACGCGAGGATCGAAAGATTCTTATTCGGCTGCAAGAATAGCATAGAGCGGTGCAAGATGATCCTAGAGAGATATTTCAGCGTGCGTACAGCGATCCCGGAATTCTTCGCGGTCCGAGACCCCCTGGCACGTGAAATTCAAGAGTGCTGCGATACGATGTAACTTATTCAATCTTATTCAATAACTTCTAACTATCATTGAATTTTTTTCAATGTCAATTTTAAACCATCGTCAGCCATTATTTCGTTCTGCCATCGCTAACTGACGAGGGACATCGCGTGACCATTCTGCGGCTAAGAAACACCAGGATAGAGAAGTTCTCCATTCAAGCCATCTCGCGAAGGATTCTCATGGTTCTCGATACTCGTCTTCTGGAAGAACAGTGTTTGTCAAATATCATGGTCATCGA